CTGCATTCAGCGGTGGCACAATTCCTCATCCCCATTCTCAGCAATAGTTGAGTTTTACCCATTTAATAGACTTTCTTTAAGACTGATGCGGCCTGAATTTGCAGGAAATTAGTGGAGACTACAAGCAGAAAGGCTGTGCCGATGGAGGCGATATGACACCTCTCTGATGTTCTATGATCCCTCAATGCAAAAAATGTCTGCATATCGAACTCATAAATTGCCCTCACTTCTATTCCCCTTCAAATGAAGTTTTTGTGCAGTCAGATACCTGCAAATGCTATGCATCCGTACCATTCATCCAACTGAGGACAGGGCTGTGAGAAAAGGGTGTAAGTGGCTGTTTTATTTGCTTGGTGCTGTCCAACGCACACGCCTAATGAATGCACAGTAAGATACACATCAACAGACACCGATCATAGGCGCGTTATAGAGAGATAAAATTCAATTTTATTTCACAAATGGGCACCATGGCGTTAAATTTAATGAAGCACCCAAATGCCGATACACTTAGTTGATGCCTTAGACAGGACGAAACAGGGATCTATGCAATCTGGCTAAAATATGAAGTGTAAAATTATTGTAAATTTTGGTCCTGTTCCCCTTTCGCACTTCAATCACGTAGCTCAAGGCAGCATGATACATTTATTATGTACGTATGTAATCATGTCAGCAGATCGTGCATCGCGTGCTCATCTGCTCGTTTATGAGTGAGTGTGCCTCGTTGACTTGATCGAAGGTGACCAACATAGGGAATGTGCATTGTAAACTTTGTTATCTGATTGCGTTGACGCCTAGACGTAGCTAGTATCCAGTCCTGGTGCCAGTGAAGTGAGACACGACTGTTGTGGGTGAGGATGAAGCAGATCACCCTTCGACGGTAAGGCAGCGGGGGTGGCGGTGGTACCTTGGCGATCGAGATTGATAACGTAGTAGGTATTTGAGCCGTCACCGTAAGCTGGCTGTGGTTTTAGCTCCTGCCGTTGCTGGTGTTGGCGATGGCGGTGGCTTAGGTCTTCAAGACCCTTCTGTTTTGATGTGGCGGTGGTCGGAGAGGCAGTTGGTGGCAGGAGAATCATCGATGCGGGTGGAGGAGAGGAAAACTGTCTGCCCTGGCAGAGAACTGGGTTTATAAATTAGATTGCTGTGTTTAAAAATCCAGTTCTCACTCAAAATAGTGACTAGAAAAACTAACTTTTACAAGTTTTTTGAGGAAACAGCAATCCCAACATCTTAGATGCAAAAGATTTTCTTTCCTGCACGTCCGGCAGTGTCTAAAACACAAAATGCGACAACTAAAGACCGAACTGAGCAAAACGGACGGAAGAGGAGTTAATTGCAGGGACTCACGGCAACTGTATTGTTGGCCAAGAATGGTGACTGAATTGATGCGGTGGCAGAGGAGATCGCGGTGCTGGGACACGCGGCGATGAAGTGCCAGGAGGTGGGTGAGTGGGAGCCATTGGAGTTCCTGCAGGCTCCTATCGTCATGCCGCTAACCAATGACACTGCAGGATGGACATAGACGTTCAGTGTGCTGTTGGTGCCTGTCACTAGAAGTTGACAGTAGTCTTAGAAAATTGTCGTTGAGATTTTTTTATTAGGCTCAAGAATTAATTACATGACTAACAACTCGATTGAGTCTTGGTTGTTAGGCCTTTTACATAATCAGATGATTTATTTATCCCAACTGTACAATGGTAGCTGTTGCTGAGATTAACTAAAAATGCCTGCAAATTTTTGTGAAAACTAGATTGTGTGAAGAGCGGCAACAACTGTTTTAGGCAGTTGTGATCCTTACTGACCTAACATTTGAGATCGGGTTTCCTGCCGTGTGAGTATCATCGTAAGCAACTTGTGTGCAGCAAAATGTGCAAAAGTTGAAGTCAATTAAACGTAACCACATTCAAAGCCAGTAGCAGTTATTATGCGCCTTTTACCGTTATAAAAGGAGGCCCGTGCGATTTGTCAATTACTGCTTAATTGCGTATACAACTTCATCGGTTTCGATTACCATCTTTGTGTCCGATCATTTGGTCCATATTTGCAGTATCCTTATGATTCTTCAGTTTACTAGCAAATTCTCTCTTATACTGACATGATGTGTTACCCCATGGAAGGCAATTGAAGGAGCTATAGCATATAGCCTTCCTGGCTACGGTTGAACTGCATAATGGACAAGGAGTTTACTGACAACTTATAAGTAGAAGGCGTTTAATTAATTGCATCAGAGTGGGGTCCTTTGACTCTGACAGAAAATTTCTTTTAAATTTTGCCAAAATTCTGGTCTTTTAGTACGAGATTTGAAGATGGATAAAGATTGTGCAGAGTCAGCCATTAAAGGTTCAAAGGTTAGGAAAACGTCAGCAAATAACTGCTAGCGCTGAATGACTACTGCAACTATCAAAGGATTGAAGGAAAACTTCCTAGTAATTTCATGTAAATTATAGAAACTTAATAACAATCACGCCAGAATCATTGCTTTACAAAGGTCATAGAGATCTCCAAGTGTGTAAAAATAATGGCGAGCTATTGATAACACGTATTTACATTGATGTTGATGAAGATATCTCAAGACCCGTATTCCTTGTGACATCTTAAGAAACTATTGAAATGTATAAAGACCCTTCAGTCAACAGGCTTATAGAGACCAAACCCAATTTTAATGGTTCTTGATTCGCTCATTTGTTAGCAAACTTCTTAATACTTCTCGAAAGCTTTGTACTCGATGGTCAAACTATGTGAATTAACGACGATGAAAGCTTTATCCTTCTCTCTCTTCGCGCATTGGTCAAACCACTTAAGCATTGTGACTGTGGGACTGACAAACCTTGAACCGTGGCGCATTGTCTGATTAGCCATGTGGAACTGCATACCATGCCGCCTCTTGCCGTGTGCATTGGGCCGAGCGACGGTGTCGGTTGGGTGGCTGCGCCGATCACTGGCTGTATTCACACCGCTCTTTATTCAGATGTGTAAAACTGCACAAGCCTTTTCAATCTCTCCCTTTATTGATCTGTTACTCTGTTTAAGCTATCTGTAGTACTAATCTCTCCCATGGTTCTTCTAAGCGTCAATAATAAGTTTTTCTCCATACTGGAGAGTCGCAGTACATCCTCAGGAATAAATAGGGCTCTGCATTAGTGGAGGTATCATCAAACTCACTCCAAGTAAACGCAAGCGGTGGCATTGTTATTGGCTGAAAGTTGCGAAAATATCGTAAGTGAAGGGCAGCTGCTATGGATGACTAAATCTGAAGTGACGCACAGAAGGAATGAAAGAAGAGAAGGAGGTGAACAAATATATTTAAAGCAAAGTGGAGTGGAAAGAGGAAATAAATGCTGTGCACAGCTTAATGAATATGTTTTATGCCTAACCTTATAAAACGGTTTTGCTTTTCGGTAAATGCCTCAGGGAGAAAGGAGTGGCATACAAGAGACATTGGCGGTAGAACATCGACTAAGCTACAGTCAAGTAGGTCTATTAAAAACTCACGATACAGTTCTGGTGGGGATATCTTTAACCCAGGAAATACGTTCCTATTGTAACTTCCTAAAAGTTTCTGTTGAAAGTTAGATTCCCTCCCTATTCTATCCGAAATTCCAGGCCTCCTTGAATATTTTCCGATTTTCATTCTCTCCATGTATTTTCATCGGCCCTTATTGTCCAAAGACACTATATCTACCAGTAATCCAATCAGATCAAGCCGATTCAAAATCATCTTACATTTATCCATCTGACCATTATAGAACTCCAGCGGTCCAGCTATCAGGTGGGCACCCACACGCCGTACTCCTAGTGTACTCATATCTTTGACGTAAAGTACCCCCGTACTGAGACCTTGGTCACTTGACTGGCCAGGTTAAGATCTTGACACCCCAAATTTACAATAAGCGGTTTCTTTGAAAAAAAACTACTGTCCGAATTTTTTCATGTCCAGCAATACTGTTGCGATGAATAAAGTGGAAAAGGGACAATACTCAAACATGGAATGGAAGACGCAAAAGGTTGTGAAGCAGCTCGTGCATCTCTGGTTTTGTGTAGACAGCACTCCTTGTCTATGCCGCGCATTACACTAGTCTCAACTTTGATAATAAGCCAACTCTTTAACCGATTAACCCTATTATTTATGGAAGAATAGGTAATGGAAGTGGTCCATTTAGGGAACAGAGGTTACACGGAAGAAGGGGGTCACATGGACGCAACATTTTACTCCACGCAGTTCTGTTATTTAAAGTTAGTTATGCACGAAAGGGATATTCTTTGGAAACAAAATGAACCCTGACATGGCATCTGTCAAGGTGTCACAGCCACCTTTCTTGTACTTGTGAACCGAGGAATTTAATTCCCTCTCAACAGCTAAAAAGACAGCCTTCATAGTCAAATCAAGAGCACATGGAATCTTTTTGCCCTTTAACTCAGCCAGTCTACCTGCTAGACCATTTGGTTCAGCCAACTATCATGAATGAATGCAGAGCCCAGTCACATTTATGTGACGCAGGTACTTATCACGGCTCCGAGGTTATTCACGAAAAGAGATAAAGCATAGTAAACACACAATATTGTAGCACTCTGGAGGACTGTAGGAGGCTAGTTTTATTATCTGGCGACTAATTTGGCGTGCTTTTCTATCATAGGGATAGAGACAGGGGGGAAAGTGGTCAGGGTAAAAAAGAAGCCACCGAATCCTCAAAGTAACTTTGTTACTCTACCGGATGGCTCAAATATCCTTTTCCCTCGGGAATATTCGAGCCAGCTTAGCTTCATTTACTCTGCTGAACTCGTAATTCCAATGAAAAAAAATGTTACCTCAATTTGTTATTGGTAGAGCTTGGTGCTTTACCAGCTTTTCAGGACGCCGGCTTAAAGTAAAATTATAATTATTCTCAATTAGGGATTTTGAAAAGTAAGAAGGGTCTGAGATTTTAGAATAAATTCGCATCAGGTCAAATATTTACCGTTTGTTCCAGAGAACGCTTGATAGTGTGATGAACCTTATTTGGATGTGATATTCCTCCGTAGTAACATAAAGGTCAACCTCTTTAGGGGTTAATTTCCCATTTCACTTCTGCCTTTTCTTAGTAAAACTTGAAAACGCTTTCAGAAGAGACACTTATAGACAAGATTTAGTCGGATTAGAGTGGTTTAACCTCTAGAATGCCAACTGGAGGAGGCTAAATTCCCCTCATGATAATCCAGGTCTCACTACATACAGATTTCTTTCCGTCACTTAACCTGGGGCAGTTGCTGCTCCGAGATTCCATCCTGCAAAATATGGGGAGGAATTTACATGGCTGCCCAGCTGGTAAAAGAAATCTACATCTTTATCTAACCTAACTGAGAATTACTTAACACCTGCGTAACCCCCAGAATGAGTAATGAGGAATCCTAACCGTCAGGAGGGAGTAATTCATCCCGCTTTATGTGGTGGCACGATGAGTTTTGATACGGTCTATAATTATAAAGATAATAGATATCCCACCTTATATGTATGTTGTTACACACAAATGCAGAGGTTGGAGAAATTTAGATCGGACGACCTGCTATTACCAGCCTGTAAAAACCCAGCTTCTTTCGGTAGACAATCAGCGAATGTGGCAACTAGAATACGAAAACAGAGGACAGGGGTGAGGGTAAAGACGAGGACGGGGGGAATATGCAGACCTTTGGGGTACATCAGGATGTCAGAGATTACTCTCTGACCATTGCAGTCAAACATAAAACGACATAGCAAGCACAGTCTTGTGATAAGGCACAAGACTTAATTCCCCAATGTCAATCTAGATATGTCATCGCCGGGATCTAAGTGTACTATTTCAACAATTTCTGGACGGTCCGTTCACTTACTACATTTTCGTCGAATGTTAGCAAACAAGGATAATTTATCCTTTGTAGCTTTGGAGTGGGGATAGACTCAATTCCTAAAGCAGACAACCTCAAAGCATTACAGGAAGTTAGATCTCATCCACTCGCCACTACGTTACCATTAACAAAGAACGTCCTAGTTGCTCCTGTATTCCACGAACTTACTAAATTCCGCCATTTATTCACAGAAGGGAAAAATGGAGAACAGAGGGTGACGTAGATTGGCTAAACTCACCACAGCATAACAACGTCGGCTGCATTGCTGCTAAATCTCCCCCTTTCCCTCACCTCTTCCCCATTAAAAGCGTCAGGGAGAGTCCAATGGAGCCGCGATTTACATGTGCAACTGCGTAAATGAAAGCTGCGTGGTGATATCAATGCCGTACGGATTCTTATGCTGGCTCTGCTGCTACCAACACAGCTTTAGTGGTTTACTGTAGTGTGAACACCGCGTCAGGTAGACTTGGTGGAGATGCTACTACTCCTCATCCTGGGGATTTTCACAATAGGTTCGACCAATGCACGCTGCACTTTAAAATGCTGACAGTATTGAGTTGCTCTTAAGGAATGGTGTGGATGTAATCCGTGCCCTGGAATTGCTTATCCTACCCACATCCTTTCCATTGTATAGGGATTGCGTGCCACCGCTGAATGCAT